TCGCGCATTATTAATCAACTAGCTAATCCTAATGGTATGTTACAATCTGTACGGTACGTACGAAGGACCGGGATCTCTGGTGAGTTTCGAGTTTTCGCGAGTACTTCGTCGTCGTGTCGGTCCCCGTGCCCCTGCGCTCGACGACACAACCCGTTTTCGTTTTACGTTCCCGAAGCTCGGAGAGGAGAAAACCCGATTACTACCGATTGATCAGGCCCGGCTTACGCTATCTTTGGTCCTCTAGCCGCTATGATTCGTTGCCAGACATGCAAATTTCCTGCGAAATTTCCTCGTCGTCGCTCCTCGGCCGGTCGCTTTCGTTCACATGGGACGGATAATCTTTCGGGAATTTTGACAGGTTGAATCTATTTACATAAAAAAAAAAAAGAAAAACACGTTCTCTCTCTCTTTCTTCCTTCCTCCCACACGCGAATCTTTTCGATCGTGCGCCTCTTCTGAAATGAGCAATGCGACAGAGAAATATGGGAAAAGTCGACCCCTTGCGATATTACGCAAGGATTAAGTATTATAAAAAATAACGCACACCTATAGGTCATATACATATTAACAGCCATATCGAAAGATTTCTGTGTAATCGGTATTTTTGTAACTTTCGACAGAAAGTAACTTAAAAAAAGGCTTTGCGAAAAGTGGCTTCTCGACTGAAGGAGATCCGACAGTGGGAAGGACTTGGAAATAGGCTTATATATCGATCGTTTCTCTTCCTTTCTTTTTTGTGTGGGAGAAGTGTACGGCGTGTACATGTCGGTCACATGGCATCGTTAATTTCACGATACTCCATTAACATTAATTGTTCGAATGATTTATTCGATCGATTTTCGTAAACACGGGTGGCTTTGGCTTCGATAGACTATGACACGTGATACACAAATAGTACTATATTCACAATCAGCTCAGAGCTCTCAATACAAATGCATCGTGTGTACATTTTAATTATCACACTTAGGCTCAGATATCGATCGCGAAGGTGGAAACGAAAGCACATCGAAAGCAGCGAGCTTTCGGACAATTACGATGTCTATCAATTATGTATATTCTATGTTGAGTCGAGTAGAAATTCTTTCATTTCTTTTCTTTCCTTTTTCACGATAGCAAAACGCGTACACACCGTCCGTGAAATTTATGATTCGTAAAAATATGTACGAACTAAAGGAGCCTATTGAAAAATGTAACTGTGATATCTGCACCTAGGTGCATTTTATGCGAAACTTACGTGTACATCAAACACACAAATGCTATTCATGCATTTAGATAGACATGGACGCATCGGTACAGTAGTTACAAGTGATATTCAATAAATACGATTCGGCTATACGACGATACCGAAAGAAAGGCACATTCAGGCACTTCGCTTACAAGAACGACAGATCAATCGAATCGCGGCACCGACATCGTCGGTACGAACGCGCGGAAACGTCTAGGAAATCCCCTCGATTCTCTGATTTTCATTCTCCACCTCGATTCACTCGCCGTCACTATGATTTCACGCATCTAAACGTCCGTGTGGAAAAAAAACCGAGATGCTTACCTTTTTCTTCGTTTTCCCAGCGATTTATTTCAAGGTTCATCGAGTGTCATGCATGGGAGGGAGAGGGGGGATTACAAGGATCTTCCCTACGGAAGATGATTTTCCACATCGGCTGGGTAAATCGCGTACGCGATGCATCTGCCATTAAAAATGCAACGATCTAAGATCGCTGATTTTTTTCATACATCATCATCCCCGATAGAGACTTCGTGCTGTCATTTTCCCGGGGAACGCGGTATAAATAATAAAATTACAAAGCAGTAATTGTGTATGAATACATGTGATATCCTGCACATGCGCCTCATACGCAACATAGTCTTACGTCGAGGAAATATAATACATATGTATATGCGTGCGCGTATATGTACAGTGTTATTCCGCCGCGTTATCAATTTCACGGGAGAAAAGGGTGGCTTCTATAACAAATTTGTAACCTTTTTCAGGCTCAATTCTCGATGCTCTCCGGTAGTAACGTGTTGAAATCGATGTATGATCGAAATAACGCTCGCGAGGATATCTCGAAGATCGAACGGTTAAAACGCGCGTGAACCTCTTCAATTTTCAACGATAGATCTTTTCATCGGTGTTAAATCAGATGAAAATTAATCGTCCGATCGTTACGTGAAATCTCTCTGCAATCTTATCACAAGTGAATAATAAACGTTGCAAGTTCTGCAAGTGTGATTTCAATAGCGTCGGGAATATTTACCAAGTCACCGCGTGAATTCTTCGATTAAGCGTACGATTGTTCTATCGATTTGCGCAAATAATTCACCGGTCGCGATACGTATTTCGCGATTGTACTTTAAAAATGAGGGAGACACCGGTGGAGAGATTTCAACGAAAAATATTTACACAATTTCGCTTGTCACAGCTGAGCGTGAGCGAGATTAGCTTGCGCCGGTAGACAGTGACCTTCGACGTGGCGCGAAGGATGTTCGAATTACGCCGCTCTTTTGAATCTTTATCGCGCAATCACGCGTACAGGCGCGACCGTTATCAATCATATTTACGGCTCATGATACCGAGACAAGCGATTAAGGGCCAATCTGTGTCGTTTTCGTCGACACGCAGTTTTCTCTCGTTCCGCGCTCGTGATATGTACATACTATCGGCATGTAGTATTGGACGGAGAATGCGGCGAGATTTTTTTAATCTTTCTCGCTGAGAGATCTAGAAAGGGAGAAGCAGATGTTTGGGTACGGATCTCTCTACTCTCTTTCTACTGGTTGAATTTTATCTGAGAAGAAGGGGAACCGTATTCATAAGGGTTATGCGATCCACTAATATGTAACGTTCTATGAAAACGTCGCGTAAAATCGAAATTATTACACATGCAATGAATAACCACACTAAGTATGATTTCTTGATTATTATGGGAAAGAAATGTGTAGAAGTAAAATGAAATGTGTTCAAAATGTGTTCGAATGTTGAGTGCCTCATGTTTCACTTTGAAATGAGTCGCCAATACTCTCATCGTTCTATCTCTTTCTATTTCTCTCAGGACGAGGTTTCGATTCCATGCTCCGTCCAGTACTACATGTCGACGGCACATTCCATCCCGGTGACTCTCGTTGCCTTCCGGGTCGATCTTCGGCTAACACACCGAGACGGATGTTAAATGTACGTTGACGTAACATCAGTGCGCCCGTCGGTAGCTCGTCGACGTTAGACCGGACCGAGTGAAAAGCAAGGAGCGCGAACTGCTAACGTTGCGTCTAATTGAATTAATATTCAACCCGATGAGAATGTGGCCGATGTCGGCGTGTCGCTCAAAAAGAAGCCGATGTCAGTGTGTTACCTGCGTAATATATTACGCCATGGAGCAGACGCGGCACCACCTTTCGATCCCCATTGATACGCGCGCGCATCATGTGTCATCGGCGCGCCAGTCGTTCGTCGATGTACACGCACGACGTGTCTCAAAAGGTGTTCGCCGTCGCGTTGGAGGACCGCGTGTCACTTCGCGTTAACTTCGAACTGATCGTCCAATGATCGCGCATGTACGATCCATCTTCGATTATCCCGCGTGTCGTGAATGCATCGCGGAATACTATCACAGTATCATCACTACGACGTGGCGGTGTCGGGCGATAATCAATGCGGTGCGCGCGCGCACTTGCTCGTCAAAATGGATAAAAGCGCGAGTTACCGTCGATGGATGCAAAAGGAAGAATGCTTCGACGAATTTGGAACGTATTCATTGATGATAATTCGAATTTCCTTCCGAAACGATCTCACGATACTTAACGTTGAATTCTCACTTGCGTTCAAGCGTATCGCGCGTATCGACGGCATTTCTTTTCAGAAAGTGAAGTCAAATGGCACTCGCGGGAATAAATTATGTACAAGGTGAGGCGATAATTATCGCCACCTTGAATATCCTCGAAATATAAAAGTGGGAGAAAAATTTGTCCAACAAAAATATTACGTTGATATCGATGATCATCACTTCGAGTATCTTCTCCCCCCTCTGTAAATATCTTTAACCCTCCGTTAGTCGCGATATTTTTCACCCGATGGTCGCAATGTATGTATCTCACAGAATAATTTCCCTGTTATTTTCCTCCACTTCTTGAAGCCACTTTTTTTCATTAGCACTTGGCTGATAGACCAGGCGCTAAAATATATAAAATAACAGTGAGGAACAAAGAAAACAAAAAAAGAACATTGATAAAGACGAATTTGACTTTAAAACCGTATAGCAACGGCGATACGTTATAGTCTGAACGAATCTATTGGATATATATGCGACTAACGTAAGGTTGAAACATTTGCATTTGTCGGAGATACTTACATACAAGATGGTGATAATAGGTTCACTCTGTATAACGAATAAACACGATAGAGAGAAAGAAGGTAGACTGAGAGAAAAAAAATATCCAAGAAATAAAAAAATATCTATTCGGTAAGTATACTAATAACATATTTATTTATACCTAGATATATATTCTTATAATAAAAAAATATTTTTCTCAAGTGAGAAAATATACATTCTTTTAAATCCTTAATCTTTTTTATGAAGGCCATTATTCATTCTATATTTATATTGAAATAATAGAATACAAATTTAAGTAAATCAGTTATTAGTACATATCGTATGGATATCTTTCATATTTGAGATCTTTTTCTCTCAGTGTACAACAGTTAATTTCGTCTTTGACGCGAAATTAGTTCTGCGAGTGCGATCCAACCTCACTTCATTCAAGCTCGCTTACTTAAGCTCTCGGCTGTGGAACGCCACGGGTGTCCGCTGATGCATGGTACTCGAGATGCATTACTCCGTACGACGTTCGGACTCGAGTACATATCGTTTCTCGCTTTCGGCGACTCCACGATCCTGATGGGTCCTGGCGATATCGCGCGTGCGGTCTAACGATACGTACTGCGCGCAGGCTGCCGGAGGCCTCCCGCGTTCTCACGGACAAAGCGTCTGTCAGGTGAACGAGTCTCAGCTACTGCCGGGCACGGGTATCATGTGGTAACCCGAAGGTGTCGACGGTGGCGGTGAGTGCCGGTTCGGCTGCGACGGTACCTGTAGAGCGCGATAATCGAGCGCCGGCGCCGCCGGGTGCTGACCTTCCCGGTGCCTCCGCAGGTCGACCTTCCTCTGAAAGGCCTTGTCGCAGAGGCCGCACTGGAAGGGTTTGTAGCCGGTGTGCTTACGCATGTGCGTGATCAGGTTGCTGCTCTGGGAGAACGCCTTGCCGCACACGACGCACTTGTGCGGTTTCTCGCCTGTAACACGAAAATAAAAGAGAGGTGTTCGGGTTAACGCGTCGGCTGCACCTTCGACCGATTGCGGTCGGCTGTGATTTCCGCTAAGTATTACCATTTTTTCCCGCGCTGTATCATCGATACGTAGAGAAGCAGATTACTTTGGATCTAATTGTTTCAGTGGAACAATACTTAATATATAATGAAATACATTCTTTTATATTAAATAATACTGTCTCTTCCGTCAAACAACAACTGGTTTAGTCCAGTGATACAACGATATTTTCATTCAAACAAAATGATATTTGATATTAAGTTACATGTTGTCTATATTGAACAAATCCAAGTCAAACAAACACGTATGTTAAATCCAAAGAAACCTTCGCCTCTGTATATATGTGTGGCATTACATAAGTTAAAAAGAATAATCTATCTCTATTAAATATGCGGCGCGAATTCGGCTCCTAAAATAAACCGAAATTTTCGACTAACTCGATCGCATAAATTATTGATTATCAGCGCCAATTAACGTTCGCCAATTGAATCAATTTAGTAGCTTACCAGCAATAATTAGTATATTTACATAAAACTTCTTTTAATTCCGCAACGGTGTCTGCAACGTGTCTCATTGAATTGTGAGACACGATGCATCTTCAATTACGGCCGCAACTATAAATTAAGCGATTGAGCATCTGCAAATGGCACAAAATTAGTAATCGACCGGCCGATTCCTATCGCTGACGATTACATCGCCGGGCCGCGGACAAACGGACTTGCGAATTACGAATGCGCGCGTTGCAAATTCGATTATCACCGAGGAAGACAACAGACGCGCGGTCTGGAATAATGAGCCAAGGTTAACCAAACGCAGCTGAATCAACCAATAAATCGTGCTTCGTCGTGTGCGCGTCGCCGTCGACCGCCGGTGGAGCATTTGCGTCTGGCGACACGGTGACTCAAACACGATCGATCCCGCCGAAGACTACCGGTTCTCGTCCATCCTATCTATTCTATTTTAGTTAAAACTCTCGAGCCCGAGTCACGTAAAAATAATTATTTCAGAAACAGAGAGAGAGAGAGAGAGAAAGCAGTCGGCGAAAATGTCGATACTGAGAGACGACGCATACTTAATTGCATCTGGCGCGATTTTCGAGCGAAGTCAGCGGGAAAAGTCAGAGGCAATGTCGTTAATCGTAGACGGCTTTCGTAGTCGTGGTCTAAAAATAAAACCGCAGCGAAGAATATAACGTAGCGCTTCTCTGTCTTATCGCTCCCGACGCCATAAATGAACTTCACCCGCTATATGCACTTCTGCCGACGGTACGTTATAATAATAACAATCATTCGCCTCATCGCGTAATTCCAGCGCGACGAATACAGTTTCATCAGCAGAAAGTGCCGCCGCGCAACATCATTTATTAATGTCACTCGCATAATCTTGTACGTATCTTGCAATTGCTCGCGATATCGTTACATGAGAAAAAACTCAATTTCTCGGCTAATCGCCCGCGCGAATCTTGACGCTTAAGAACGATCGTCCTGCGGATCGCGGGGCCCCGTACTGATAGTAATAATAATAATAAAAAAGGGAGACGGAAAGAGAGGAGTGGGGGGAGGGGAGGAGGGAGGGGAGAGAATGACAACACTTGTAAACTCTTGTCGCGGCCTTCTGAAAGTACACCGTCGCTCGTCTAACGACGATCGACCGACAGCGATAGTACCGAGCAAACAGCTGTGCGGACCCGTCGCTGTCTTCCTCGCTCTTTCTCTCCCCCTCTCGAAATTCCGAGCAAACAGTTTTATGATTGTAAAGCGACGATAAAAGCCGTACGTAAGCCGGCGGATGCCTCCGAGTGTTGTAACGGAAGGCGTCGTCGTTAAGATTCTATCGAAAAGAAATTAATTCCGCTCGCGGACGTCGCGCCAGAGCTATCTCTCTTTCTGTCTCTCTCTCTTTCTCTCTCTCTCTCTCTCTCTCCTTCTCTTCCCCTTTCTCTTCCATTTTCTCGCGTAAACGTGCATAAACAACGGCGGTGAGGACTCGGAGGTGTCATGGAGAAAAACGAGCGACCGTTTGCGGAAAGAGTAGGAATTTTATGCCATCGTATGAAGCGCGACGAGTAATTGCAGAGAATTTAATGCTCGCGCAAGAAGATAGGATCGGCGACGAAAACGTTCGAGAGAGAGAGTGTGTGTGTGTGTTATTTAGGAAAATTTCCCTCGAGTGCAGCAAAAAGAATCAGTTACGTGAAAAGAAACGATACGTGTTCAGAATTGTTAGATCCGTTTATGAGAGTAGAAAAACTTCATACAATTTGTTCACTTCGATGCATGGATTCCTGACCAAAGAAAGTAATGGAAAATGAATAAAACATGTGAGAGAGACATAACGTTGAATGCCAGAAAATCAAATTAAAAGAAGTTGCCTTGAGAGAAAGAAAGAGTGGGGAGGGGAGAGAGAATTCGTGTTTAATCGAAATTTAATTTACCAAGTCAGAGTGAGGAATGTCAGGGGAAAAGCGCAAAGTCTACGACTTGGTAACGATGGGAAGATCGATTTCTCATCGTATCTTGAAGAAGCAAGAAAGAAACTTTCCTTTCTCAACACGATTCTGACTCACCGGGTGCGGTTGTCAGTGCGAGCGGATATTCTTTTCTTTAAATTAAGTTTACCGACGTTTCTCGTTTCGATATATTACCGTCGGAATTATCGCCTACACGGCACGGACACGGACAATGGGCGAAGTCGATGACAGTGTCGCTTTGTTGAAGCAGGCACCGTTTTACTTCCACCATCCTACACGAAGGAAAATACAATTATCGTAATTGTACCATCTACGATTCAATTTTTACATACATATTGCTCTCTCTACGTAGGAGAAAGTACCTTCCTCCCCCTCATGCCTGTTATTAATATCTTAAGACAATTTGTAGACTTAGGGCAAACACACCGAGAGAATCTACTTTGTATATCTTACAGTAAATTTTCCGCGTTACACCTATTGACACGGCGAATTGATAACCGCGAAATAATACGTCGCGAGGAATCGAGGATCGCATGTTTTTCTTGTGTAGAATAGTAATTCGTACTCTAAAGGGGTCACGTTAGTCGACAATATCTCTTTTTATCAAAGCTTGTTAATGTACACGTGCTACACGTTCCGAAAGAATTTAATCCAGATCTTTCTGTACACAGTGTCGACCTCGCTCCGCTCAATCGCGCAAGAGAAGTATCATTCGGATCGTCGAAGCGTGATGTATTATCATACATTAAATTCGTTATAGATCATATTTTTAAGGACGCCGAATACACAACCGATACGGGCTACACGAGGTCGATAAGAAATTAACGCGCGAATAAATATCCGCACAAGCGAGTCGTTCAAGTCGACGCATCGAGAATCGCGCATCGGCTGGCGGTATATCCGAGTCGAAATTGTAGTTTTACATTAAGTCTCCAAAAGTCTCTCATTGTACTCTTTTGATGCTACAAATGGGAAGTTATTTCCGTTTCCTCTACTTGAAGACTTAATACAGAATTCAAAATTTTTCCCTGGGGAGTCTAAATTTTCTTCGTAGCGTCAAAGGAACACATTGATAATCTTACATGCATGTTGCTACTATTATAAAATATGTTTCGCGTCGAAAATAACTGTAATTTTCACTATCAGTGTACTGTTAGAACTATAAATGAGAATTTCTGTTTTCTCCATTTGAAAACTTAATGTAGAACTAAGTAGACTTTCGATTCCCAGGCTGATTTCTCAGACTTAAGTTTCCAAGTGGGGAAAACGATTGATCTTAAACAATTTTCCGTGTGATAGTATATTTATGACGTTAGAAATTATATTAAAATACAGAAAATAAACATGTAAATATAATGCAATTTCATTTATTTGTATTTACAAAAACCGATTAGAAGAATCCATGAAAAGTGATCGAAATTATCTAATAGAATTATTGTAAAAATATTATTTATGGAGCGAACGACTTGCCTCGCTTAGGAATCGAAAAGCGTAAGGCCGAAATTTTCACTCGGGTGATAACGCCAATCTGTATGCACGTGTGTGTGTGATTTTACAAGATTTCTTAAGCAATTTCGTTACGATGCGTGCGTAAACCGTTGCGCGCTCGCTCGAGTCGCGGCGCACCGACGTCGACATTTGCCCGCACTCGTTACAGTTACAACTAATAGCATGGTAATATATAATTCCGCGTGTACACTTGCAAATGCGCCGTGCGTTTAATTACTACAATTGCTTGAAGCAAGTAAGAACGACCTATTGCCATTTGGCGCTCGTGTTTCCATCGCATAGGTGCCGGCGACGACACGTTGTCGGAGCATGCGCCACATTATTGTCACGAGTGCTTTTTACCGGCGTTTTATCTCACGACACGAAATGTATTATTCTCAACGAATAACGAGCGGGAGATAAAAGCGGGGAAGAAATACGACGATCGTTTCAGAAGCGGCGATACATCCGCGCGTTATTACCGCCAATATAACGGCGGACCGCGAGTCTTTTTCCGGCGAAGCTTTATCAGGAGATTCATTAAAAGAAGCTCGCTCCTTATGAATAAGCGCTTTCATTATCCACCGCGACCTCGCGAAATTATAAGTGTACGCTTCGCGAAATTAGAGCGAACTTGGCGAGCGCGCGTGCACGATAAATAGCAGAAACAATGCACCGAGGACTCTCTTCTGCGCGAGGACGGCGGTAATATGAGCGTGATAATTTCGAGCTAATTCCGGCCAAGGGGAACTAATACTCGGATCGAAGCGGTCGATTAAATCACACTTGCCGTATTTGCCCGGCGAGCGCGACGTAACGAGGAGAACACTGACGTTACGTGTCGCTGGGGGGTAGAGTGACTCGGGAAAATGGGAGGAAAGCGCGCGTCTGACAGCGGCGCTGTTTGCCTTAGACTTTTTAATTTCTCCGCCGCGATATCGCCGTCACATCTCTCCGACGCGCGCGCGCAAAAGGACGAGGATGTACGATTCTCGCGCGGCGGGCGGA